TGTTGGTGGACTTCTGGGTCTTGACCCGGAAGTCTTGGCTCGACAATGTTCAACAGATGATAGGCGAGTATTAGTAGGAGGATTATACGAGGCCCTCGTCGATTGGGTTGTCACCAAGGCAAACGAAGCCATCGCAATTCAGATGTCCCGTATTCGTGATGGCCAAGAATCGTTGGATGGCCATAGAACACCCACATCAGCCGAAGACAATGGGGATACCGTCTGTATAACCATCGTCGAGATTCCCGACCCAAACCTCGGCAAGGCCATCGCCATGCGTGGTATTTTTGACGACACCACAGGAATCAATGCTGAAATGAAGGAAGATGGAGTGGATGTGGCTTCCGCCGGCAGCTCAGTACTCCGAGAAATGGAGAATAGTGTTGCTGATGTTGCACCTGATCTGGGCATCATGACCGGCCCTGTCGCCAGGGCAAGGCAGCACGAGCTTGAGAAGAGAGAGGAGGTTTTGGAGAAGGCTGGCTTCGCTAGTGATGATGATGGCTTCTTGAAAAAGTTACTTTTCCCTGTCTCAGGACAGGGGATTAACTTAGGTCGGAATGCGCGATTCGACCTTCCTGCTATACTGAGCGCCAGCCGAGTTTGGTACCATTTGTCCCTTCACCCCACTGACGAAACCCCAGCTAGCCTAGCCGCTCTTCCTTCTATCACATCTGCTTGGTCAGCTGGTACAGTCTCTCGCCAGCTACGTGCTTGGAGATTGCCTGAGTGGGCTAATCGTCGTAATAAGAATCTTGATTTTACGGCTGATTTTGATATGGATGAGTTTTACCAACGTTTCTCCCCTCTTGGCTGCGGAGAAGGTCGTGATGGTATCGAAACATGGATTCTTGAGAGAGGTTGGAGCAATGGTGAAGTAGTTATTGGTAAAGAACGAGTCTGGATGAGAGAAACTGCCTGGTGGGAAGCTGAGAGTATGCTCGACCTTAGACCACCACAGGACTCCGCACCTGGTGGTATGGGCGGTTTGGGCAGTATGAGCAATGTGTTCAATACGCCTGGTCTTGAAACGGGATATTCCAACAATGGCAGTGGATTTTTCCCTCCAAATTTTCCCGATCATAACTTCTCCGGTAGCCAGGATCAACTTGTCAACCACCAGCGTAACCAAAGTCGACTCACGCTTGCGCAGAGCCAAATGAGGGCTGGTTCCATTGCGCCCTCCGCTATGCGTAACGTCAATAACGGGGATTACGGCCTAGGATCAAAGGGCGACAACCATCGGGACCAGGTATTCTACACCGGTGATGGTGAATTCATTAGCAACCTTGACGCTGCTGATGCACAGGGCAAACATGTTGAAACCGTAGATACAACCCTAACTCGACGAATTTGGGTTGGTTTCGTCTGGGCTTTAACTTTCTGGATTCCTTCCTTCGCCCTCCGCTATATCGGCCGGATGAAACGACCGGATGTTCGGATGGCCTGGCGTGAAAAGTTTGTTCTGGTCTTCGTCATATTTTTGATAAACGCTTTCGTCATTTTCTGGATTATTTTATTGGGTCGGATCATATGTCCCAATTTCGACAAAGCTTGGCTCCAGAAAGAAGTCGATACTCATCAAGGCGGTGATGATTTCTGGGTTAGTATCCATGGCAGAGTCTACGATATTACCAACTTTTGGCGACAACAGCACAGTGACACAAATATCGAAACAACGAACGATCTCATGATGCAATTCGCCGGAATGAATTTGGACGACTACTTTGTAGCCCCTCTCCAGCTTACATGCCCTGGCCTAGGTGTTTCTGATACTATACAGCTGCAAAGGAACAACACGCCCACTATACCCCAAGGTGTCCATACGTCTGGGTATTACCAGCCTGACCAAACATCCAAGTTAAGATCGGCTACTTGGTATCGTGATTCATTCCAACCCAAGATCAAGGAGTACTACCATGGCGACCTAGTCTGGGACATTAACGATGTCCATGAGGACGGCCAGAATAACAACCACATGTGGATCATCTATGAGGGCGGAATCTACGACCTGACTAACTATTTCAATACTATTGATTATTATAAGAATCTCGCCCAGTACAATTTTCTGGACGCGGATTTAATCGATGCAATCAAAGATAACCCGGGACAAGACGTCACAAGCCTATGGACCAACCAAATTGCTAATGTTAAAGGGAATAAGACAGCCCTTGCCACGAAACTGAACAGTCTTAACTGTATCAAGGAAACCTTCTACGTCGGCATACCGGACTTCCGCAATTCGGCTAAATGTCAAGCAAACAACTATATCCTCCTCGCCTTTGCCATTATCATTTGCATAGTTACTGGAATTAAGTTTTTTGCGGCCTTGCAGTTTGGCTCCAAACGGCGTCCCGCCCCACAGGATAAGTTCGTCATCTGCCAGGTTCCAGCCTACACGGAGGGAGAAGACTCTCTGAGAAAGGCACTTGATTCCCTCACTGCGTTACAGTACGATAACAAGAGGAAGCTGATCTGTGTTATTTGCGATGGTGTCATTGTTGGTGAAGGTAACGATCGACCTACGCCCAAGATTGTTCTCGATATCCTCGGAGTTGATCCCAAGGTTGACCCCCCAGCTCTACCCTTCAAGTCCGTTGGTACTAGCAGCGAACAACTTAACTATGGCAAGGTCTATTCTGGTCTTTACGAATACGAAGGCAATGTGGTCCCCTATCTTGTTGTCGTCAAAGTAGGCAAAGAATCCGAGCAGACCAAAGCAAAACCTGGCAACCGTGGCAAGCGTGACTCGCAGATCTTGCTGATGAGCTTCTTGAACCGTGTCCACCACCGTGCTCCGATGAACCCCCTGGAATTGGAAATGTTCCATCAAATCAATAACATCATCGGCGTTGACCCTGAACTGTACGAGTACCTCTTGATGGTCGATGCTGATACTTGCGTACGGGAGGATTCCCTCAACCGACTTGTTGCTGCCTGTGCCAATAATTCAAAGATCGCTGGTATCTGTGGTGAGACTGGTCTCCAAAACGAGGAACGTTCCTGGTGGAGTATGATTCAGGTCTACGAATATTACATCTCCCACCACTTGTCAAAAGCTTTCGAATCACTCTTCGGCAGTGTTACTTGTCTGCCCGGATGGTAAGTTTCCTCTCATCGTTGTCGTGTACATCGTTATACTAACCTTATTTGCAGTTTCACGATGTATCGTCTGCGTACTGCTGACCGTGGTAGACCCTTGATTATTTCTGACGGAGTCATCAAAGATTACAGCATTTGCGCCGTTGACACTCTCCATAAAAAGAATCTTCTATCTCTCGGTGAAGATCGATATCTCACTACGCTGATGACAAAGCACTTCCCACGTATGGCATTCAAATTCATTCCTGATGCGTACTGTCAGACGGCTGCTCCTGAGAAGTTCAGTGTCTTGCTCTCGCAGCGGCGAAGGTGGATTAACTCAACTATCCACAATCTTGTTGAGTTGATGATGCTTAGAGACATGTGTGGCTTCTGCTGTTTCTCTATGCGCTTTGTTGTCTTCATTGATCTCACTGGAACGCTTATCCTCCCCGCCACTTGTGTTTATATTGGTTACCTCCTTTACCTTATCATTTCCCACACCGGTCCGTTCCCTGTCGTTTCTATTGCTATGATAGCTGCGGTCTATGGTCTTCAAGCCCTAATTTTCATCCTTAAGCGCCAATGGCAGCATGTCGGCTGGATGATCATCTACCTCCTCGCGTTTCCTATCTACTCCTTCATTCTTCCGCTCTACTCTTTCTGGAACCAAGATAACTTCAGCTGGGGTAACACGCGTATTGTAATTGGTGAGAAGGGTAATAAGCAGGTGGTGGCAGTCGATGACGAGGGTTTCGACCCGCGTTCCATTCCTTTACAACGCTGGGATGATTATGCCACGTTAAATAACCTGCCTGGTCGCCGCGGCGCTCAAAATGAAAAGGCACATGATTTCTACGACGATACTTACGAAATGGACGACATGAAATCAGTCTATTCTTCAGTTCGACAGCCCTCAGTTCTCACCGGTCTCCAAGGACGCGGTGGATATATGCCACCCCAATCCCCGGCTCCCTTCCAGCATATGGCCCGCCAGTCTGTATCTGGCCCTTATGCCGATAACCCAATGTACCGACAGTCTACTGCATCATTTGGCGACATGCAGCGCATGCAATCACCTTTCCAAGACTTCCCCACACAAAGACCCAGCATGAGCAATCTCCGTGGCGTATCCAACAATTCTCCACAACACATGCACCGCGTTTCTAACGCTACACTGGGTTATGCTGGTGGTGCCCGTCCACCGTTAGGCCAAGGTCATCAGTCCACTACATCCTTTGATTTCCAACGAGGTCACCTAGGACCTGATGATGGGATGATCATAGAGGCAATCCAGGCTGTGCTCCGAGAAGTCGATCTGGACACGGTAACTAAGAAACAAGTCCGGGCTCTCGTTGAGCAGCGACTACAGACAGAGTTGATTGGCGAGCGAAAGATATTCCTTGATCGCCAGATTGATAACGAATTAGCTAACATGTAGTCGCATCATCTTTTCCTATCTATAGTCGATCGGAGCAGATATTAGGCGAATCAATCTGGATGTACATAATAGCAACTCAGCGTTGATCATGTTTGATGTGATACTAGCAGGTTTAGGGAGGGGCGGAACCGGATCATTCAAAAGAATATTGTCTTTGCTGGCGTTTTTTTTCAGAAGAGATGAAGCCGCATACTATTCGTCCACGCAAAAGAAAGTGACGGGATTCGTATTGGTAGTAGCGATGGCGGAGTCGGATTCCAGGTCATACTGTCGCGCTTGCTTTTTTCTCTATTTTGCTGCGTTTTGCTGGTTCTGGCTAAACAGGATGGTTTGAGGATATCTTATTACTATATTGTTGCATATCATATCATCGCTATATATTGTTATACACGTCCCAATGGCTCTCATTCTCACTGTGAGCATTGCTGCTGGGTATTAATCAAATTTAATAAACAGAAGACTCAGATTATACGTCATGATGTGTGAGTGACATGTATTTCAAACAGCGTACCTTTTTAGCCATCTGTAAAATTCCTAGTGCTAGTTTATGTATTTATATTGTTCTATGCGCGATGTTACAACGGGATATTCCCAATGGCAATGTAACGAGCCTATAATTCTTACCGTATGTCTGCCAACCACGTGGGGTTGATAGGTACTGTAATGCTATATATAAGTCTTGAGAGTAGTGATAACTACCAATACAAAGACAATGTTCTTAGGCTACACGTTTACTAATAGTATACGTCCTATATACACCTGTCAGTCAGTCTATCCCACCATGTACGTACCACCAGATGCTCACTAAAAGAAAATGAAATAGAGTAAAATAAAATAAAACAGAATATCATAATCGTTAACCCGTTCACATTTCGCCAAGTAGAATTGCGACACATAAGCAACCTATCTATACTAGATTGTCTTTAACCCATCATAAAACTATACGCCTTACGGACTTATAGTATCAATCTTGCCGACACCTTTCAGCCGCAAGTAAACGTCGGTTCCCCAGCCGTACAGACTCTGAACAGCTATGCCGCCGCCAAAGTACTCCGCGTAAGCGCGGCTAAGCGGTAGTCCGTAGCCTAGACCGGCGATGGAGCTCCCACCACCCCCGGATGCTGATATCACGCTTAACGCATCGTTACCGACACCTCCGTTCCCATTGCTACCCGAAATATCGTCTTCTTCCATAAAGGTAGTAAAGCTATAACTCCAGATGTTCGGTAAGACATCGGGAGCAATGCCACCGCCGCGGTCGCGAATGCGGATGGTAACTCCCGGCGCGTTGTCATCGAGCGGCATGATGGCGTCGCTCTTGAAAGCGCCCTTGTCGCCGGCAGGGGGATCGAGGGTTACGCGGGGTGGACCGGCGTCAGGTGGTTCTGGAGCGATAGTTATGACGACGGGTTCACGGTTGCGACCGCTCTCTACGGTGGCGCGGAACGCATTTTTGAGCAGCTCCGTCACAATGTACTCTAGATGCATGGGCACGAAGGCAAACGTGGTCGAGGGTTCGCCATCGATCACCCAGTGTGGTCGCACGCCATACTTTAGCTCGCAGATGTCGGCCACGAAGCCAGCGCACGAGTCTACAACGGCGGAGGGCGAGAGGGCGGTATCAATAACGCCAATGTAGGAAGGGTGCTCGGGGCACGGGGTCGGTGAGGCAGAAGGGTCGAAGTGTGGAAGGCTGCTGTAGTGCAAGGCAATGTGCTGCTCGGCGATGAGACGGGTGCCGATACGGGTGCGCAGGTGAGTATCCAAGAAACGCGTAACCTCCTGGGGGGAAATGTATCGCCGACACTCGAGGAAGCCCTTAGCTAGGATAGGGATGGTGTCTTGGTGGGTGTGGACCAGCTCAGCAAGAACCGAGGTGAAAAGGATTTCGGCATCTAGGTTGTTAATGGTATGGTGTTTCCAAGGTAGGAGAGTCGATAATGAGTGCAAGTAGTTGTTGTAGATCTTGCTGATGTTGGGATTCGAGACCACGATGAAGGGTAGGTTTCGCAATGCCTGAATGCGATGGGCTAATCGAATAGGTAGTAGGGAGAGGGTGAAGTTGGCTGACGAAAAAAGAGCTTGTGCTGAGAGGGGTGGCCGACCATGTCTGTTTGATCAATCTCTATTAGCTACCTCCTGTCTCTAAATACGCATTTATGTCTTATAAACTAGAAGCGGTGAAGGTAATACGATATACTACGGAAATAGACCTAGGGAACAGCTACGTACTTGACCAAATCAGCAAGACTCAATGGGTGCTGCTTCTTGTTGGTGAGATCTGCAATCTCGTCGTCGGTCACCGTCGCTGTGCTCGGGGGGTGGGACCATTTCTCATCGTTCGACAGCGATGGGGATGAGCTGCTAGTAGCATGTGACGAATAAAAACACGATCCAAGGACGTTGCGTCTGGGACTCGCAATTGAGGCCTTGGGTGCGTGAAAACACCGCAACGGCCTATATATGCTCCTCATGGCGGCATTGTGTGGTGTCGAGCGGTGAGCAGGAGTGAAGAATAGTTGTATGTTGGAGCAGTTGGAGTCATAACCAGGGTTGAAGACGAAATAATAATAGGTTTGATTTTTGATATGTCGGAGTCACGAGCCAAGCCCCGGGAACATCGACGTCAGTGCTGAGAATGGAATTGATAAGGGTCCTTATCTGCTACAGTCTGCGGCCGATGCCGATCTTTGTTTTGTTTACCACTTGTTATTTACACCAGATACATGATGTATCATACATCACATAGAGACAATCCAATCATGATAATTACAAATGGACGAGTTCATGTGATTGACGTTGGTAAGAAAGATTGATAGATCAGGTATCTATTATTCTCGATTCTTGCATAAGCCAAATCTAGTCAAGCTTTCTAGTACAACCTAGTACCGTAGCAGCATAGTTTCAAAGCCCCGCATCATATACTGGCTCGGTCACGCTCACGCGATGGCTCTAAGACCCAGTTGCCCCTCATCACGACAACTATTGCGTCCTCACCTCCTGGTCCAGCTCGACAGCTTTAACATGCTCGTGGGACTCCAGCGTAGTCAAGGCATCGTTAGGGAATGTGACACTATACGAAATAAATATTAGAAAAATGCAAATTTAAAATATAAATGCTAAGGGATCACGTACGAGAAAGCCTTGATGAGGCTGTATTCGTGGCCAATCTTGCCGCCCTGGTCCTGAGCGTGCTTCTTCGCTGCGGCCACTTCCTCGGGAGTAGCGTTCTCCTTAAGGGTAACCTATTTAACAGTGAGCAATAATGTCTCGACGATTAATTATTTATAATGTCGTAGGGAAGTTTGTAATTACAATGTAGCTCGGCATTTTTAGAGATGCGGTTGTGCAGAATAAACGTGTGGTTGGTGGTCTATAGTAGTCTTGTGTTGCAAGGTAGTAGAATGAAGAGAAAGACAGACGTTGGTGTTGCAAGATAAAGAGTTGGGCAAAGCGGATAGAAGTAGGAGAGTGCATGAGCGGGAATTTATTGAAAGACTGGTTTCGGTAAAGACCATAGGTAGCAGCTAAGACATGAGGGCACCCCTGCGGGGCACCACAATAGCCCGAGTTTACGAAGGTCGTAAGTCGATCACGTGCCGCTGCTGCCGGGGAAAGGCGCTCGGCACGCTTCGCGCGCCGAGCGCCTTTCCCCGGCAGCAGCGGCGGACAACCTCGAATAGTAACCTTTGCTAGAAAAAAAAAAATTTTTTTTTTAAAAAAAAAAAGAAGTGCATATAAGATTCGAACCCAGGCTCTTATAAAACTTGGGTTAGGTAGGTAGGTATGTAATGCGTGGCTACGTAATTGGTGTAAGCTACGGCAAAAAAAAAAAAAAAAAAGATACGTATTTCGAGAAAAAGATGAAAGTGGGGATCTGGAAAAGCACGTGAGAATTCGAGGATGCACCCAATAAAAATGCTCGAAGGCTGCGCACGGACGAACTTCCTTCTCAAGGAATTCGTCCATTTTCGGAAATCGAGATGAGCCAGACAATATCCCTCGTAAACTCGGGCATACGTATCCCTAGAACGTTTAGTATCGCCGTAAGGAAGGTGATATGGGACTGAATACGCGTAGGAAGCTTTCGACAGGTGGGAGGGTGAATACGTCATTACGGCCTAACCTTTAGAGCAAACTTCCCACTCCTTTACGCCGTTGGCCTCTGACATGGTAGATTAGATACATTGTAAGCCAAGCAGCTTTCTTGGCTCCGGGTTGGGACTAGACTCATCCCGTTGCTTGCGTATACAGTAATACGTACGAATCCATTGCTAATACGTCTTTGATTCCGTATATGGAGCAAATAACTCGGTTTGAGCTAGAACTATTCTCCATGGCATAACTTAGTAAGGTTCCAAATCGCTTTTTATAGGTTTAAGTGAGGGACGCAACACTGCATAGATAGATCCATGTTTACGCACGATTTCTTCCACGCTGCATATAGAAGCAAGATAAATACTTCGAGTGTTACTTTTACTACTAAACCGTTTATGTGATACCTCGGTGTTTATATTTAAAGGTTCTAGGTTACATATGTAGAAAGCTACCTTATGCTGCCTTATCCCGGCTGCCCGGGTCTCTAATTGAGGCCTTAAGCCGCTAGTAACCTACCCTGAAGTAGAATTCAGGGACCCGAAGGTAAGCCAACCTTGTCCCACTTTATATCTGCTTAGATGAATCGGGACCCATTAAAAGAGGTCTTATCGCTATCGATAAGAACTTACTTGATCGTCTAAACATTTTTTCTTCAATGCGAAGGACTCAAGTCGCTGCAGCATCTTTTACGTGAGCCAAGTTGTTGCGTTCAACGTCGCAAAGTCGCAATCATGGAGCAACAGGCGCACAAACCCCATCGCAAATCGAAAGAGAAGAAGAAGCCAACTGGTGGTTAGTATAACTACAATTATAATTATTACCCTACTAACAGGACCAGATCACAATCCCAAAGCCTTCGCCTTCTCTAGACCCGGTAAACTACAACGCGCTGCTGCGAGGTCTCAAGATGTATGCAAAATCTACACGAATCGGGTTTATCAATATTGTAACTAATTTCGCTATATTAGATCAAAGAAAGGCGATTTCACGTCCCTCTCGTCGATCGGGTACCCAGCGAGGCGCCTCCGAGACTCGTAACAATTGTTGGGCCGCCTGGCGTTGGAAAAACGACGTTATTAAAGTCGCTCATTCGCAGATATGCAAAGGAGACGATCTCAGAACCTCAGGGGCCCATCACCGTGGTCACATCAAAAAAACAACGGTTAACCTTTATCGAATGCCCCAATGAACTCGAAGCGATGGTCGATATAGCTAAAGTCGCCGATATCGTCCTACTGATGATTGACGGAAACTTTGGTTTCGAAATGGAGACTATGGAATTCTTAAATATCCTAGCTGCAACGGGTATGCCTGGCAATGTGTTCGGCATTCTGACCCATCTAGACCTATTCAAAAAACCCCAGGCTCTAAAAGATGCGAAGAAAAGGTTAAAACACAGATTATGGAGTGAATTATATCAGGGAGCACATCTATTTTATCTATCTGGTGTTATTAATGGGCGATATCCGGACCGCGAAATTCACAATCTATCTCGCTTCCTTTCTGTCATGAAAAATCCCCGACCGCTAATTTGGAGGAACTCACATCCCTATGTTATCATAGACAGCTTCCGAGATATTACGCACCCTACTCAGATTGAGGAGGACGAAAATTGCGATCGATCAATTGTTCTTTCGGGGTATCTTCGAGGAACTAACTTCTCGGGTCACAACCAAAAAGTCCATATTCCTGGTCTGGGTGATTTCTCCGTGTCAGGTATAGAGGCTCTACCTGATCCATGTCCAACCCCAGCTATGGAACAGGCCATTGCGAAAGCGACTGGAAAAACTGGCCGGAGGCGACTGGACGAAAAGGAAAAGAAGCTTCATGCTCCCATGTCAGATAGAAGTGGTCTGAAGATAGATGGTGACGCCATCTGGATTACTAGGGAAAAGGGCTTTAATTTCGATAAAGACGCTGAAGATGGGGAGCGTGGTGAGGGTGAAGAACTCATTATCGGACTCCAAGGAGAAAGGCGGCTGTTAGGTCAGACGGAAGACGGCCTGCAGCTGTTCCGAGGCGGCGAGAAGATAACGAGTGTCCCTGAGGAGGAGGATACTGGAAGGAAAAGTCAACGTAGTGCAAGATTCGCTGCAAGAGATGAGGATGAAGAGGAAACGCCTGAAGACGAAGGCTTTGTTAGTGGAGAGGAAGATTTCAATTCGGATGAAGAGCCCGAGTTCAATGAGCAGAAATTGGGCAAAATGTTTAAGGAGTCAGATAAGGACGGTGACGAGGAAGATATCGCATTTGCGGATAGCGACTCAGATCTGGGCTCTATATCAGGCGATGAGGTAGACGACGACGACGACGACGACGACGACGATGACGATGAAGAGGATGAAGAGGATGAATACGATGGCGCAGAAGAATCCGCACTCAGGTGGAAGGACAACTTAGCTGGGAAAGCACTACTTCGCCATGGCGGCCGTCCATCTTACCGAACAGCAGATCTAGCACGCCTAATGTATGATGAGGCCTTGACAGCCGACGAGGTGCTACAGAGATGGAAAGGGGAGGTCGATGCAGAAGAAGAGGAAGAAAATATTGAAGACTCCGAAGACGAAGATTTCTTCAAGAAGGCAAAGCACGAAGAAGATGCAAGTTCAGAAGACCGCTCGATACCCCTATACGATTATGATCAGTTAGCTACTAAATGGACACTCGACGACAACGTTGAGCAGCTCCGCCAGCGCTTTACAACAACGACGCTCGGCGGAGATGGCGACGATGAAGACGGATTCGATGGGTTTGACGATGAGGATGGGGATGAGGACGATGAAGGAGACGGCGAGTTTGAAGACCTTGAAACGGGTGAACAGCACAAGGCCGAGCCCGCGCCAGAGCCAGCAGAGAGCCTAGAAGCAGAGCGCGAAAGAAACGCTCGGAGGAAAGAAGAGCTGAAATTACGATTTGAGGAGGAAGATCGCGAAGGGTTTAAAAATGACAAGGCTCAAGCTAGGCGTGAAGGCGGAGACGAAGAGGAGTTTGGTGAAGACGACTGGTATGATGCGCAAAAGGCGCTCATTCAAAAGCAGCTTGACATCAACAATGCCGAGTTTGAAGCTTTGGACGAACGGCAAAGAGTCGCTGTCGAGGGTTTCAAAGCTGGCAAATATGCTAAGATTCTTCTTGAGAAGGTTCCTGCAGAGTTCGTTACAAATTTCAACGCTCGGATACCTATTATAGTCGGAGGTGTGCTTGCTACGGAGGATCGATTCGGTTTTGTCCAGGTCCGTATCAAGAGGCACCGTTGGCACAAGAAAATTCTCAAAACCAACGACCCCCTTATCTTCTCTCTTGGGTGGAGGAGATTCCAGACACTCCCAATATACAGCATTTCGGACTCTCGGACGAGGAATCGTATGCTGAAATATACGCCGGAGCATATGCACTGCTTTGGCACATTCTACGGTCCTCTAATCGCACCAAATACAGGTTTTGTCTGTTTCCAGTCCTTTTCCTCCACCAACCCAGGCTTCCGGATCGCTGCAACTGGAACCGTTCTATCTGTTGACGAGTCGACTGAGATTGTGAAGAAGCTCAAACTCACCGGTGCGCCATACAAAATATTCAAAAATACCGCATTCATTAAGGACATGTTCAACAGCTCGCTGGAAATCGCCAAGTTCGAAGGTGCCGCAATCAAAACGGTTTCCGGTATCCGTGGTCAGATCAAGCGCGCCTTATCGAAACCCGATGGGCACTTCCGAGCTACGTTCGAAGACAAGATCCTGATGAGCGATCTGGTATTCCTTCGCGCTTGGTACCCCATCAAGCCGCACCGGTTCTATAATCCGGTCACCAACCTCCTTGGCAACTGGCAGTCGATGCGGCTGACGGGTGAGGTACGGCGAGACCAGGGGATTGCAACGCCGCAGGACAACAACAGCAAATACCGGCAAATCGAACGAGCAACACGACACTTCAACGCACTAAAGGTGCCCCGCGCTCTAGCAGCGGAACTACCGTTCAAGTCACAGATCATACAGACGAAGCCGCAGAAGCGCAAGACGTACATGCAGAAGCGGGCGGTGGTGCTCGGTGGAGAAGAGCGCAAGGCACGCGACCTGCTGCAGAAGCTGACGACGATCCGCAAGGACGCGGTGGCCCGGCGCAAGGCTAAGAAAGACGAGAAGCGCGCGGAATTCAAGAAGAAGATGGAGGAGATGGGCGAGAAGAAGGAGGCGCGGGAACGGAGGGAGAAGCAGGAGTTCTGGCGTAAGGAGGGTAAGAAGAGGAAAGGTGACGGTGAGGGAGCTGGGGGTGGGGGGAAGAGGAGGAGGTAGTTTTGCAATTATGTGATGTATACATCAGTTAGGCTTAAAAAGCAACGATACCGATGGATTTTGAAAACGTCTTGTTTAAAACCCGTATTCCAGGTACATAATACATTTGTTCCGTCCTTACCTTTGGGTAGGTAGCGTGTCCGCCATCTTGTACATACTAATCCTTGTCCATCCTTGTGCTTGGCTGCATTTGACAAGGGCTGTGATCTGATCTTGATGTGGTCCCTTGTGTGGTCCCCCGTAGCTTGCCGTGCCGCATCGTGGCGGTTCCATTCAATAAAGGTAATTCGGAGAGTCTATCAAGTTTTATCATTGGCCAAAATGAAGATACCTAACCTAGTGCTGTCTAGGTAACCAGCGGTGGTAGATCAGGTTACCAGCAGTGGTAGATCTCAGGCAAGTCAGTTCGTCCACATGAATGGCTCCGTATTTAATTTCGAACGACCTAATTAGTCGACCTTTGAATACTTTCGTACTTTGCAACCTCCAGTCATCTACTTATAAAGGTCAGACAGCCGACACACTTATTCTATAAAATATAGAAGGACAGACACGTTGCAAAGTATGCATCAGCTTAATCGAACTTATTAACTTCGAATCAACTAATACCTAAGAGTTGAATCTATAAAAGATCTATTCCACACCATCATTTAAATAGTCTTTATATTCCAATGCCTAGCAACCTTAACCAGCAAGGTTACGATACTATGGCGGTTCCCGAGGATGCTAGGCGAGATCAAAGCACAACCACAACCCTTGACCACAATATTCATAGTTCCGTATCGTCTCTTACCTGGCATCCCGCAAATGTTCCTTCGGTTATGCCAGTTATTTGTACTGAGCCATTGCCGCTTCAGCTTCTTGGTGTAGGAGCTCATCTCAACGAAAGCCTCCCCTTTACAGGAGACGAGCATCATTCTCATCCCCAACAAGGTCAGGCTTACACTAATACATATCCTTCATTCATCTAACATACCTCTTCAGAGCCGTTGGCTCATAATATTTCCTGCCAAACGAGGCTCGCAAAAAGTCTCACGGCGACCGGTGATTCAAACCACTCCGGAATAGATTCAAATTGCGAAAGTGGCGACCACGTCGTAAACGATATCATTATGGATCGTCTTTCGTTTGAGTCCGCGGCTCCATGTTCTAGTTCGATCGGAAGCCGTAGCGAGTCTCATGAAGCATTAGCAACTGTCAGTGCAGTGTCAAGCTCTTCTGGGGCGATCATACACCAGAGCCATCATCATTTATCTGACACCAATAATGAGTCTGCTTCACCGACCTTTAAATGGGCTATAACCCCTCTCCCTCGCGCAATTTCATATTTCTGGTCATATTTATACTCAATATCCGACATTAGAGCGATAGTTCGCTTCGTCGTCGTCATCTTCAGCCACCTTATGGGAATTTGGACGGCACTCTCAGTCAGCATAACTCCCGGACGGCTAGACGACGCCCTCCCATCGCTCAACGACGACAGCTACCCGATCATGGTTGCCCAAGTAGCCGCATCAATGCTGTCTCCGCTGCTATTCACTGTCGTGTCGACTAAGGAAGACACGGCAACGCTTCGGCAGAAGTTAACCTCTTTTTATTACGTCTTACTTGTGGTCGGAGTCCTGATGTCGCTTGTGTCTCTCTTGCTCTACTCGCTCTGGCCTTCGGGCTACCGCGTAACTAACATTACTATCATTGCAAGTCTTATGTTCGGCGTCCTCGGCAGCTGGCAGTTCTTGGAGAAGTCCTGGAAGAAGACATTGTCGACAAATGAGGACATCGAGTTGGGCCTACGACAAGCTTGATATATTGGTATACCGTACTTTTCAGCTTAGGCGGGTTAGGTTTTATTTTCTTCACTTCCAGGTACGGTTCGAGTTCAGCGCGGGAAAATAGTGAGGGTTCTAAAAGGTTTATTTGGATTGGATATGGAGCGGGTAAAGGGTATAGATAAGGGTATGTGCTAGATTCTAACAAGTTTAGGAAATTCTATATAGGTTATGTTTCGGACGGTGAAATGATATATCAGTACTAAAATCAGTTTCCTTTTCTTGTTGGATATCAATTTTATTCCTCAGTCCGTTGAGGGGAAATATGTTCAGGGGTTTAACCAGCTCATATGTTAACCCCTGAACGAATATAGAACACGGCTCAAACAGTCTTAACTTAAGTACCATTTCCTACCATAAATATCACACTAGGCATACAAGGTATTTATTGAGAAAGTTTCTGAGATTAAGTTTAATTTGTCTCATAGGCCTTGCTACCTTACTACTTACTTATCAGGTCCAGATTCCGGGATGGCTTACAGATGATTCTATAAAAAGTCTTATGTCGATTAGTTCTGGCTTTCGCCTTCTCACATCCAGAGAGTGCTGCGCTTTAATTAAGGAATCGGGCAAGATTTAGGAACATTCCGAACTAGTAAAACAATAATCCGAAGCCTGAAAATTACTAGAAAGGGTAAAAGAGTTATGAAAAGTTATAAAAGTTTGAAAATGCATTTAAAAATATTGCGGATCAATCTTTAATTAGGTACTGACCGATTCCTTAATTAAAGCGCAACACCCTCTAGGTGCGAGCAAGCGAAAGCCAGCGCGAATACTAGTTTTATAGAGATCTTGTAGCACAATTCTTTAATCTCATAAGAATAGTTAGCAATCCACCAACTAAGTAGTTTTAGGTGGTATTACAATGGTAATCTCCGTGGTACCTGAAATTAGATATACGTATGTCATGAGTGCTAAGTTGACTATATATTCTAATGGTGATGCTTAGGATGAAACGTGTAGCCTAAATACTGCCTTATCTTAACTTGAGGCTACACAAATATGCAATCCCCAAAAGTACAATTTTGGAAACTAAGTGTCGTACAACAGAGTGCCCAAGGCATACTTTCGAGACATTTACCCTCCGCACTTTAAGACAGTTGCTTATATTTAAGCCAGAAGGATGTCCACCAAATCAATGTTTAATCCAATAGACAGAACCTTAGGTACACAAGGCCTTTCTCCTTGATATTGGCAATACATCTCTAAAATACGTCTCCTTCCTTACCAAGTCTTTATACTAAGAGCTATTGCACTCAGTACTTATTAGATTAACACATTGGATCTCATGATGAATCCAGTATCATACAATTCACTCTCTTCGTTATATTTGCTACTCTATATCCGCATAATGGGCACCCGTTACCCCAGTGGCCATTCCGAATCTCGATAAACACTTTGCTTTCGATATACTCTATCGTTCTAAGATCCGGCTTATCCTTCATCCTTACACCATATGTCCTATTTAGAGCTCGGAATTATAGATACACACTGCCTAACACCACAAGATATAGACGAGCTAACAGATAAAGGGTATAGTATCAATAAGACTTACCGGTGGCTTCCCTATCAAGCCAACCCTGAAGTCGATTCTGAAACCGACTTGTCACTAACAAACTCCCTTCTTGCTCGGAAATGCTTATATCTTGTGGAGTATTCACTTGGCACCAGTACAATACCATATATCATAAGTGAAAATTTCAACGGGGCACTCAGAACTGCTACGGGAACCTTATGGGGCGACGGGTCCATGGTAGTCGACACATTTGACGGCCTCCAAACTTTGCAACACATATATGATTATGGGCGCATTGATTTCGACCGCATCCAGCAGACATTTTCAAATATCTCCGATTCGTTAACTACTTGGATTCGAACTCGCGGTCACGAGAACTATTCGGACCCTGCCGTTGGGCAAGTCTTCCATTACGCAACCTGTATACAAGTCCGGTGGCAGTGGATGCTGTTTCTATTATCAATAGTACTACTAACCATGTTACTATTCATAGTAACAGTATGCTCGATGGCGCTTACACAATTTCCGGCTTGGAAAGCATCTCTTCTTCCCCGGCTTGTATGTGGGCCCGGAAGCGCCGAAATTCTAGGAATGGCGGATCAATTGGAAGAGACTTCATACGGTACTGATGAAATAGAGAATAAAGCCAAGGAGACCCACTGTGGTTTGGAAGGCTTTGCCTGAACCACATGTTCAGTTATAGGCTTGATAACGATCAATGGTTGTTCACAGCTCGGGCTTGAAATAACTTATACCTGGGGAAGTCTTTAAAAGAGGATGGCGTCTGGTATAAAACACTGTAGTTTCTCTTAGTCGAGATATATAGGAGAAGATCTGAAGTTTAAAATAAAGGCCGAAATAAGCTGGAAGAGCTTGGGTTAGTATGAATCTGTGATTGTACCCGTTAGAGGTAATACATCAAAATACATTGGTTCAATTCTCAACTCCTGCTTATCATAGCCCCTTTTCTTCAACACTCATTTAACTACCAAAAGTAAAACAGTCATTAATCCATACTCCCCAACGCTCACTAGGTACCCTATGAACTCTCCATCTTCCTAACTCTCCTCTCAACCCCCTCCTCAAACTCACTCACTCCACCCTCCAACACACTCATCGCTCCCGCTTTCAACCTACAGACCAGCCTCCTCCTCATACCCCCCGCATCCCCACCCCTATCATCCTCCTCGCTCTCCTCCCCATCATCTCCCACAATCCCTTCCACCACACCCCTTACAAACCACCGATCGTGACTAACCAACACAACCGCGCCCTGCCAGCCCCGCAGCGCCTCCCGCAACGCCGCCACCGTCTCGTAATCGAGATGCGTGGTCGCTTCATCCAAGACCAGACAATGCGGCCGCCGGCGCAAGATCCGGGCAAGTTCCAGCCTTACAAGCTGTCCGCCGGAGAGCCGGCGCACAGGGACGTCAGACGCCAGGCGACCCGGCAAGCCGAGTGAACCCAGGAGCCCTCTTATCTCGCCTTCATCCAGCTCGCTACCATTTTCCCCCATCAACAACCCAAGAGCCGTCATCTCCGTATCCACCTGTCCCATCTCCTGCAGCGCCTCGACCGCGTGCTGCGCGTAGTACCCCAATTTCAACCTCGGATGCTTAGTCGCCGTCCCGGCCGACGGCCGTGTTTCTTCGACCAGGAGCTTGATTAGCGTGGACTTGCCGCTGCCGTTGAGGCCGAGGATGCCGATGCGGTCGCCCATGCTGACGGATATATCGATGTCTTTCAGCACGACGGGCGCTTTTGCGTCCCTTGCGTATCGGAACGAGACTTTTTCTAGGGATATCAGGGCCCCGGGGAACCGGAGCTCAGGCGGGTCCGGCAGCGCGAAACTAACGGGGCGTTCGTCCTGGGGGATGTCGATTTCGGCGCGCGCGGTAAGGTGGTATCCGACCAAGTCCCGGTTGAGCTTGAAGCGGCCGCCCTTGGCATTGACTTCCATCCCCCACCTATCGTCGAGCTTTTTCTGGCGGGACTTAGCCTGGCGGATCTTATTCTGGTCGTCCTTGGCCTTGCCCTCGCGCATGTTGCGCTGGATCGTCTGCTGGATGTGTTCCTTCTGCTTATCCTGCGCGTCCTTCATCTTCGTCAGATGCGCCTTCTTCTCGGCGCGCGAGGCCTCGTATGTCGGCAGGTCGCCGTGGAAGTACGTTAGGTCCATGTCCTTGATGATGAGGAGATCCGTGCACAGGGAGATGAAGTCGCGGTCGTGGGAGACGAGGATTAGGGTGGGCGGATCGGACGACTCGGCTAGTGCTGTGAGGTGACGCTGCAGCCAGATGATTCCGAGGAGGTCGAGGAAGTTTGTGGGTTCGTCGAGGATTAAGATGTCTGTGTCTTGTAGTAATGCGGCTGCTAAGGCTGTTCGCATTTTCCACCCGCCGGATAAGCTTGAAACGCGTTGCGCCATACGAGATTCTGTAAAGCCGAGACCTGTAAGGATCTTCTTCGCCTTTGACTCGGTTTCTGCCAGCTTTGACGGCTCGACTTGAAGCTGGAGGTCGGCAAGCATATCGGCAGCTTCGCTTGTCTCCTTTGCAAGCGTCTCGGGTGTGATATCCTCGTCTTTTCGTTCATATCTGAGTTATCTGTCAGGAATATGTCACCTAGTTGTGCGTGTAGAGATAGTAATACTCCGACTGGAATTCGGCAACTTTCTTCTCCATGGTGATCAGAGCTTTTCTCGCCTGCATACCTCTCGTGCCGCTACGGAGGCTTGCATCTTTATCCTTAAGGAATAACTCTTTTTGAAGGCGTCCGTGGTGGACTTTCCGAAAGGCCCTCAGAGCGCCAAAGGGGTCACCGCCATCGACACCTCTTAATAAAACTACGGCTGATTAGTTTGAGGACTTATAAGTCTAGGATGGGATACGGACTATCGATTTCTTTTTGCACCTCCTGCTTGGCAGTGGCTCGCTCAATAACTTCCTCTAGCACTACTGGACCCTCGCCTTCACTAGGGGTAGGAACGGGGCCTTCGTCAGCATTGACATCTCCAACGTCAGTCTGCTGGAGAATAGTTATACGGGTCTCTTCTGGTAGGCCCGGTATGAGCTTTTCCGCCACCGCCTTTAATAGGGCTGTAATAGACTTATTAGTTACAACTCTCTCATGGTTAATTATAGCTTCATTTGATTACATTAGACTTACTTGATTTCCCAGTACCATTCCTTCCGATCAGAGCATACCGCTGGCCGGCTTTGAGTCTCAACTTAGCATTACTAAGGATTTTGGTACCCTCGCTCTTTGCCTTGGCCTTGCCTTTGGCACCGGACTTGGATCCAGACTTGACAATTATATTTAGTCCTTCAATATCTAACTATTATCATATCTGTTAGAAACGTTACTAGTTATATGGAGAGAATAGGTAAGTAGCATAACTACCTCGCGATAGTTAGGGGTCCCGATGTTGAAGCGAGTTTGTTTAGAGGTGCACACAATAGTCGCAACGCTCTCAGCTTCCATGGATGTCATGTTCGTGATAGTATATCAAATACACTGGTTACTAATAGACAATACGAATTGGATAAATCATTATTGAAAAGGGGGATAGAACTGATTTATGTTATAGTATAAGTCTTGAAGCCGCATTACATAATGTAACTTTTATCAATCCGGTCTAAGGGTTCAGTCTAGCCTTCGATACATCGATCGTGCTTATACGATCTCGTTGAAGTGCGTTCTTGGCTGCAGTAGCGTCGATGATTCATTCTGTTTCATTGATGAATGCTCCGTGATTGGGTGGAATCGAGGTAATGACTCAGACCGGCGTTTACGTACCGCATAATTGCGCTATAGTCTTGTTACCTGGTTGGGACTACTATTCTAGCTGTATTAGTTAGGATAGTGCATATGGAGTGTATACCTCCTATATATATTAATCGTGTTAATAGATATGAACTCCGTATCTATCTAACCAGCGACTTGTCCACCACAACCCGCAAGTGAGGTCTATCTTCCGTCCTGATAGTCATAGAACCACCCTGAGGCAGCTCTACAATAGTACCATCGATACAGACCTTGCGCCATCTAGCATCTTCTTCTAAAGTAGTGATCTTAACCACACTAGTCTCCTCGTACCCGACCCCTTCCTCCTTACCATCCTCCGTAGTCCACTTCATACCGATATGCTTTCCATCGTTATACGCCTGCATCATAATCTCCATAGTCTTCTCTCCACTAACAGCACCGAAATGAACGAGCCTTAATTTCCCATCTAGGGGCTTGCTAGCTGGAGATATGGTGAAGGTTTTCTCTAGATTGGACACCATCGTAGCTAGGATATATGCATGCCGGTCCTGGTCTAGCTTCTGTACATTGGATCCATCTTTTCCGGAGAGTTCAACGATTGCGTTATACGCGTGGCTCTCCTTAAGCAACTGCTGTGCAACCATGCCGAAGCGCTTAGCACCGTGCTTTCGATACTCCGGCGTATCGCTCTCCCAGACCAGCTGGCTGTGGAAGCCGTAGCTAGCAACGATGGCCCCGTAGAGATGAGACACGGCGTCGGCGTGGCTTTCAACTTCTTCCGCGGAATCGGAGCTGGATTCGGGGCTCTTATAGGTTATAATGCGAGAGCCGGGAGAGAATTCAGCCTTGAAAGAAGGTAGCGCGGCTGCTCGGCCGTTGAACAAAGTGCGCAAGCCCTGGACCAGGCTGGACGGCGCTGGAAATCTTGATGTCGTGCCCGCTGACTTGTGAAGGGAGTGGAAAAGTGCATTTCCTGTACCTAACGGGAGTATCGCAATCAACGGCAGACGCTCTTCCGAGTTGTGCCCCTCTACCGACACTTGACCATTAAGCATCTCGATGACACCCCCATCACCACTAAGCAGCACCACGGTATGCTGCACCCCATCTTCATCCTCGCGACTAATCTCTCGCGCAAACTCGCGTACGCTATCAGCGCTCTGCGTAACAACTAGATTGTGCGGATTCGGCTTGAATATTTCTACCGAGTTTATGGTTGGATCCGAAGGATAAACCTCGCGCCCCGATAAAAGCCGCCCAACAACCTCGTTGTAAAATTTTAGCGCAAGACCCGTCCCGGAGCCAGTCGACACCACAGCATGGATGCGCCGCGACGGACTACTTTTCAAGTAATCCGGAAGACCCTCGATTAAAAATTCATCTAGGAGCGGCTGCGGTATACCAGCATTCCAAGACTGGAATAGTCTGAACGTCGGCTCCTGGTCTCCTGGTTCTTCTTTTAAGCTGAATATATCGTATGAATCGGACGCTTCAGATTGTCTTAATATAAATATGATCTCCTCAGCCTTGGTAGAACCAAGGATATTGCCTACTTCGGGTTGACCGGTATCGGTAGAAATGCTACTGGGTTTAGTAGACATATTCCGTGTGGTACGCAGGCAAATATTATTTACAGATACCTAAAATGCTATGCCATGAAGTTGTAGCGTTGATATCTCTTGTAGATATCTTGTAGAGGAGTTAAGTAAGATATAAAGGAGAGCGATCTACTTTTAGAAGCGTAGAGGCGGCAAGATCTGGCTTAGTAAGAAAAGAGCGGGCTTGTGAATGCCAATGATTAGGTAATTAAGCCTGTAGAAGATGTAAGGTAGGATTTGGAGCAAACCAGATATCCAGGAGCCTTCATGATGTGCTGCATTAGTCTTATTGCACAATCCCCGTTTTAGGCCATGCAAGGCGTTTTGATCTTATAGTGGGGCTTGTGCTCCCCTATTTTTTGTTATACTCGTTTTTTACTTCACAGGTATATGTAGTAAACGAGCAAGAGGGAAATAAAGGGGTATCATAGGCCGATCTAGAATCGGTCGTGGTATTGAGCTTCAAACCTTCGTTTTACTCCTTTTTATATCACTACTGTCCACCCATTAGTGACCCTTCGCCTTGCTCTGAGGACCCCAATGCTCTCTGGGGTTTGTCTGATATCTAACAAGGCCTTTCTTGGATATGTCTCGTCCAAGTTTCTGATCAAAGACAACCTTCAAGTTATCGATCGCCTCGCGCTCTGCATCCTTTGCAGGATCTTCCTTCGGAGTCTCGTCTGTCTTGCCTAACCGGAGTAAGGTATACGCTGGAGTGTTCTCCTTAATTCTATCAACACGCACAGGGGCTTTTTCGCGGACCCATTCCCGCATAACATGCCAAATGACTGACCATGGCGCATTTGTCTTTATACTACCGCCCTTGCAATGACTACGAGTAACTTCATAGCCTAAAGACCGTAAAGCGCCCCTGAAACTATCCTCATCAGGAGACATACAATGCAGAGTACCCGCTAGCTTCGCCGGGTGGAAATAGAACGGATAGTGTTCGATCGCAGCGAATTCGTCCTCTCTGTGACTCTCCATCCTATCTTCTGGAGGTGTAAGGAACTCTTCTAGTGCCGTCTGTAGCATTCCTTCTATCCGCGTCTTCGTGCCGTAGATCTCGTCGGAGGCGCTAGGGAGGTCATCCAAGATTTTCTTGATGAAGTCTGGAGAATGCAACGGTCCGCCGTACATTGGGCCGCTAAGATGCATCTTTGAACCGCATTCTTTGCAAAGCCGGTCGGTGGTCGGTGCCATGGCGAGTCCGTGTTTATAGAAGACGCCTTTCCCAGACGCATTAGGTGCCTTTCTGTCACGTGCCAGGAACTGCGTTTCCCAGGCTCCGCACCCCTGGTCGCAGCTATATACGATCATAGTCTTCCCCGCAAGGAACTTGACCTCTGCCGGCGACTTCCTAACCTTAACGAAGATCCGGATGTAATAGTCAATCGATAGACTCAACAGGGGCTCGATAGCTAGCCCATACCTCGCTGCTGTTGAAGCAAGGCCGTGTAGTATGAGGCGCAGCCCTACTTCGTGAGAATGCCATCCTTTCGCAGGGATGCCGCCATAAAGGGCAAACGTTTTCTCGGGATATCCATGTGACGCAAAGACGCCCGAATCCGTGCATGTAACACATAGCAAACCCCCATCGTCTCGTACGGCGTTAAGTGCCGCGTCGAAAAAGGTAGCAGCGGTTCCATATGGGTCCAGATCGATCACGTTGTATTTGTTGTTTGGTTTATTTGGTTTATTGCCGCTCTTCTTGTTTTTCCCCTTTTCTTCTACGACTTCATAAGTAAGTAAGGAGTACATATGCGCACGGGCGTCGCCCGATGTCGCGTTTACTTTGGATTCGACACCGTTATGTTCCGCATTCTGCTTGATAGCCTTGACAGCCGAGGGACTAAGATCATTTGCAGTAACTGATGTAACAAATGGTAACTCTTGGGCATATCGTAGAGCTCGAAGTCCCGTAGCCGACAAAGCATCGAGTATGGTAAATTTAGGTGTAGGTTGGTTATTTCTTGCTTCGGTAGATTTCGTCTCTTGATCGTTAGTCGGCTGTGAGTTTTCGGCAGGTTGGTCGGCATTAGGCACGTCACCAGAAGGTACGTTGTCACCGTTTCTGTGGATGTTTTCAGAATTGTTCTCTTGTGACCCTATATCTTGATTATTTGGCGCGTCTGGGAGGGTTATATCTGCGTCGTCCGACTGAGCTCCGTTCTTAGTCGCATCGTCAGCTGTAGACGTAACGCCGTCTGCATTCTCGGTTACTTTTTCCTTCTTCGAGTTGCGACCACTAGTGTCTGTCTTCTCACGTTTCCTCTTAGCTGCTCTTTCCGCATTCCCAGCCCGTCTCTTAGCAAATGCGTCCTCAGCATACGCTTTAATTGCGAGAACTGTCAAGTCGCGATTGAACTGCTGAATGGGATTGTAGAAGACCTTTTGCTGTTCCTCGGCATTCGACTTCTTATCTGCGATATCTTTTGCGGAAAAGGGGACTAATATACGAGCTAGTCCCTCCTTGACTTCGGTAAACTCTTGGCCGTCTTTCGTGATGATCTGAATATTGGTCGTCGCGGCCGAAGAACCGTTCTTAGTTTCCGAGGCCATGGTTCGTACAGTTCGAAGACGATGTGGTTTAAGGAGAAATCGATTTACATGCCGAAGCGCTAATCGAGAGGACGCAATCGAAAGCGAGAAGAGCATACAATTGAGTTCTAGGAGGGTAGTATTAGAGGACGAAACCAAGAATATCGAGGTTGCGCAAAGGCCATATAAGTCGCGAATAACTCCAATTCCTTTTTTTTCTAAGAAGGGTGGGGCCCTGGAGGGGTCTTAGCTGTTCTGCCGGGCGGTCAAGAGAGCTATACCTTATACCTAGCTCATGCATGTACCTATGACTGCTAGCTACATACTTGCCCCTGCTATGTCCCTTCAACACTCTTTCCTCGAGTATATGGGCATGACTAAACGGAACGTGTCGACTAAACACAAAAAAGGAAACAGCGATAAAGAAGGAAATATCCAAGAGAAGGAACCTCACTTATTTCTCCATGAGTGTCATCATGTCTTTCTTAAACCCATCATCTTCAAGGAAGAGCTTGCTTGCTTTTCTCTACCTTGCTCCTGTATCAACTCTTATATATTTCATTAGTACTGCCACAATTTTTTCGACCAATCAGATACTTAGAATCGCCCCGCAGTTTGCGACTTTTTCCTTTGCCATTCTATCGCACAAGGTCTGCAAAAGGTGCAAATGGTATAGAAATGTCATGCAAAACGCGCTCTATCCAACGATACTAATTATTAAAACTTTTATCCAAAAGTGAAGCAATTCAATTGATTCTACAAAAAATTCATCGGACGTGCGCTGAGGTGTGGCTAGCCAATCAGAGGCCAGAGTTATTTGTGGCGTAAAAGGCACTCCCCCGTAAGCGCTTGCGCGAACGGGTAACGCAGCTAGTTCCAACATATTAGATCTGCGCGGCTACTCCTACCAATATTCACAGAGGTCCTTATTAGATTTATAGATACTACTTATCCAGGAAGTGCTTCAGACATAGGGTCTGGGCTCCAGCACCTACCATACAAGAGAAACTGATTGTAGCTCGTCATTCCTCCTCAATCCTGACCACTAATTGAATAAGAACTCCCCAAAGGATAACAAGCATCCTTTAAAGCCGCTTCCTAGAATAATCATACGTGAGGTAGTCGTAGCTTAGGAATCTCCTTGACAGGAGAAGTCCTGGCTGGAAATGGCTTTCCCCTTGGGATATCCTAATTCTAACATCTCACATTTGTGTCTGTCTTTCTTTTGAACCCATTCCATCTCCTCTCATCTAGACTCTAAGAATGGCGTCCACAATCTACCCAACCAAGGACACAAACCCTCATCGTTCTCATATTCCACGCCTTAACATCGACGCGGCAATGGCCTCTCAGCCTTCATCGGCACCACCTTCTCCTAAACCAAACAATAGCAACGGTAGTACTCCTCCAAAATCTAAGGACCATGGAAAAGATACTTACCGCCTCCTCTCGCACGACGAGTGGGTTCAGTTCTGTCGAGGTGTTGGTGTATTCAAGGATGATGAGAGCGAAGAGGTCATCCGTCCAACCAGTACGTTGTGGCCACCAAAGGGGTTCAGAGATGGTTTGTACCAAGACGTTCTCACCGAAAAGACCAAGTTCACGTACATGTTTCATTCCGTGGACATCGTCAGTTGGCTCTTGATGCTTCTCCAGATTGCAATGGGTGCCGTCTTGACTGCCCTTGGGTCAGTATCGTCGAAGAATGGGACAGCAATCGTAAGTTATCTCTACAGTTATATCATCCTAACACAAGTAAACTAGCATAGTTTCTATCTATAAGCTATCCCCCTCATTTTCAGTCAGAATTTCTATAACACTAACCCTTCTTTTGTAAATAGACTACTATCGCTGCGGTCAACACCTGTGTCGGCGGAATCCTCGCCTTGCTACACAACAGTGGCCTACCAGCCCGGTATCGCTCAGACAGGAATGAGTTCTATAAGCTCGAAGAACATATAAAGTCTATCGTCGACACAGCCCTTGTGCCTGTCGATCAGGACATCAACGCGGTCCTCGCTAACTGCTACGAGATATTCCGCGAAGCTAGACAGACTGTTCAAAACAACATCCCGGCTTCTTATACTACTTCCCCAACTAGTGGCAAGGCGCCTAGCGCCATGATCTCGAAGGTAATTGAGCCTAAGAAGTGAAGTTGGTGATATCAGATCATTCTATTGTTCGGCGACCAAACAACTTCATCTTTTCCATCCTGGAAACATGTTATTTTAAGGGGATCTGAATGTTCGATTGATGGATTCTTATTAGTGCCGCATGTTAGCCTTTTGTTAGTCAGGTCGGATTCAGTTCTTATGGAGGCGTGATAATGACTTGTAGGTCCTACAGAGCGTGTCAAGGGTTAGTGTTATAAATTTTGTAAGTAGAAAGGTCTATTTTCGCCCACGTATTAAGAAGTAAGAGGCACGACTAATACAAGAGGAATAATTTAGATAAAAGTGACTTCTCGGTCTATCAACACTGCACCTGTTCGTGACTCGGAAATATATATGACCTAAAATAAAGCTAGAATGGTATTTCTTAGAGTATGGAGTATACTAATTAGGGAGAATGACTAAACTCGAAGGACTGGTAAGATTTCACGGATTAATGGCGGTATAGAACAGCGCTGAGAGCTGCTTGAGTTTTACCTAGAATAGGGGGTTGATTTATGTACGTCTTGCCCCTGACTAACGATATATACACCATTAATAGATATTTAGGTAATTATATCATTCATCTAGAGCTTACCTGCCTGTAGTTACGGTACAGCCACATTTAAGTGGTGGGGCAACCATTCCCATGCACCCGTGCACACAAAATCCAGCGCATATCCCAAAAGCCTCCTCATCACCAAGGTCGCCGTCGCACCCCTCACCCCGTTACCAGGCAACCACCTCCCGCACCTTCCGTACCCCCCGCCATACCGCACACACACACACACACATATATATATCCCACTTCCCACTCTCCCAAGCACAATCGAGGAGTTGGCCAAGCGGTCAGAGGCGCAACAGTCAGGATGAATGGACCACCATACATTTACCTGCTTCAAGCATCTTTCATATTTTCCTCGTATAGTATAATCACCACCAGAAACATCATCATACTCAAATCGGATCTTTTTATTCTAGCTTCTTTGAAGCAAGCTCTATGTTCTAGACGATAGACGTCTATGCCAATGCTATCCCATCCGTGCCTTTCATATACATGCCTTGCGCGATCATAATATATGCCACAATTTAATCTACCATTTATCTGGACCGAAATGGCTACCATTAGGAACCGTGTTGTACGAGCAAGCCTGCCAGTCACAACCTTGTCTATACACATCTGTTCCCCACCAGCTAAACCCTTCCATCCAGCCTGGGTATATGAACCCGAAGAAGACAATAACAATGCCGAATGCCAAACCAGAATCCAACGCCGCGCTGAGGGTCATGGTGTATTTTGCCCACCATGCCGTTGCCCGGTTCTTGATCAAGTAATTGAAGATATAACATACCACAGCCCAGACCGAGAAGTTAAGCCCGGTCGCTGGCGGGATCCAACTAAGAGACCCGAAGAGGACGGGCAAGTTGATCTTGCGAACGATGCTGGACTTTTTATTGCGGCCATACAACCATAATGGGATCGGGGCGACGGCTCCGATAAGAAAACACCATACCAGAGGGCGGTAAGTTGCATTCGGTCCGAAAAACTCGGCTGGCCCAACGACGCCCCAGAGGATGGATCCGTTGAAGTGGACTCGAGCGATCGGACAGGTAAAGCCGTTGATGGCCGAGGGCGTGCAGATTCCAGGTACGTTAAGGAACATCCAGTTGAGGACAAGGATCTGCGTGATTGACGAGACGATTGTTGCGACCATCTGAACTAAGAATAGAAGTCTCGGTGGAATCTTCATGTAATGTCCCAATTTTAAGTCTGCTGCGAACTTGATGCCCTGAGCGGACGAGATATAACCGTAGGTCACAAAGACCATATTAGCGACCGGTCTGCCGGGGAAAATGACACCGCAGATGAGTTGACAGATAAGATAGATACTACTATGCTGATTTGTTACAGCCATGACAATACCGATAGGTATAAAGAGCACGGCACATATTCCGAGAGCAAGAAGTAAGCCATACCATGGTAAATGTATCGGATAACTATACATGTGTAAGTAGAAGTATTTCAAATAAGGATATGGTAAACTTACTATTCAACGACGAAGATGCCTATTGCCGTCATCGATATGAACGTCAAAAAATACCACGTTATCGGAGCATCCTTATATCTCCTCATAAGGCGATTGTGAACATCTTCGTGGCTCAAGATATCATCGAAAGTAGAACTAGTCCTAGTAACGCTAGGTTGATCTCCATTAGTAGTACCGCCGTTGATATCGCTCTCTAGTGGTTGGTACATCGGTCTGTCCTCATCCCCTACTTCTTGTAATGAACGCTTCCATTGTACATATATATCCTTGCCGTGCCAGCAAGCAGTATGCGTTAGGAGTGACACGAGCCCGGCGAATTGAAGTCCGTAACTGAGGACATAAGTGATCGGTAGAAATACCCGACTATAATTCGAGTAGGCTGTTCTGTCGAAATAAAAGTCTTCTGTTAATATTTTGCTGACATCGTATATCTTTCCAGTATTATCAAAGACCGACGCCGAGAGAATCGGCATATACGATGAGTAGAATAAATTGCAATAATACGCAATAGGTGCGATAATCCACATTACTATCACCAAACCGCCGATGACGTTCATTGCGGCCCAGAAAGGCGTCAGGAGGGGTGACCCGATATACGCGATCTGTGCCCAGTCAAAAGTGAGCGGAAAGAGCCCCAAGCCGGAGACAACTCCAAATAGATTCGCCACTACGACATTGTCCGGGGCGAACCAGGTGATAACATTGAAATAACTTAGTGCTGGCATTAATAGCCCGGGGAGGAAGTAGAAGATAAATCCGGATATCCAGACGGTGAAGAAGAATTTCCACCTGCTTATTGTCCACCCATTTGCGGGCTTGTTCTCCTCTTTATGTAATGTGGCAAACATTGCAGCGGACATTAACGTGCCAGGCCAGATCATTCCGGCCGGGCGTACCAGGAACCGTCTCGCTAGGCCAGCGAAGGTATAACCTAGGATCTGGGTTGATAGGGTGAGTAGTAGCTGGTAGACGATGCCTACATCTTGTTTATAAAATTGAGTTTGCTCAACGATAACGTCCGTTGCAAATGCAAACCCGAAAGATACATTACTGCTCACATATACGCAGCTATGCTCCTTTTCATTCCAAGTTCCCTGGGCAAGCCATAAGCGAAGGCGCTCAGCGCGGCTTCTCTCCTTAAGAGTGGTCGGCGTTTGGCCGTTTGGGGAGGTAAGCCTATCTATCCGTACGCCAGCCTCAAATTCTTCTGGCGGGTCGTCTGATCGTTTTAAAATATAGTCCCATAAAATACCAAGGGGGTGAACAAGAAGCAACGCTATGACTGGTGTAATTGCAACGCTAGGGTATCTCAAGGAAAAGAAGAGATTTGTGGAAGAACCAAGTATAGAGAACAATGTGGATAATGTCCACATGCGAGGGGTGTTTATAGACAAGGAAGTATTATCGGTTGGTGAGACAGAGGCTCGAACTTGAGCATAAGGCGAATTATCGGGAGGGTCCGGGTCGTCTCCTTCGTTCGCATCGTCGGAACCGTCTTCGTCGCCTACAGCGGAGCTACTTGACTTCGAGTCTGGAGCTATGCCGTTTGTTATAGCGGTATCGCTAACACCAAATCTACCCTCGAGGCCACCGACTACTGTTGACCCTCCAATCTCTTCGGATAGGCTCTTTCTTCTCCGGCTGGGAGAGGATGCGCTCGCCCGGAGGCCTACCGAGCGGTTGGCGTCGGTAGAGTACCGCCTCCTGGAGCGGCAACTTTCTGAGCTACTTCGTCTCGTTGGCGACGCCGGATCTTCGCCATCGCTATCGGGATCCCTAATCTTGGGATGTATAGGAGCAGCTCCGTATGACCCCGTTCCAAACCCGGGCGAGGAACGGATCAAGAGGGGAGCTTTCGACATGATCCTTGATCCACGACTAGAGCTAGGGTGGATTCGAGTGTGGTCGGAGTCATGGCTCGTACTGGACGGGGAACGAGGAGTTCTAATAGGAGCTTCTGTCGAGCTTGACAAGGAGGTAGCACTATTTGTACCATGAGGAGAGGTTGGCGACGTGGGGTTTGAGACATCGACGGGTAGGGCGGAGCTACCAGTAGAAGCATTGATGTTTATGGGTCGCAATGGGAAAGACTGCGAGTGGTCATTGTGGACACTATGGGGGTCTAGAGATATAAGCGGCCCATTATCCCTGCTTTTCGAAGAAACAGCAGGCATTTTTTTAGTCTATCGTTACGTAGCTGCAGCTACAAAGGTCATATCATCCCGCGCGGAAAGGGCAACAGGATTTGCACGAGCTATCCGGAAAGTGCCCAGGCTACCGGGCTATGTTAGGTACCTAACCTAAAGTCTGTCACCAGTGTAACTTGCCTACTGTGCATACCTAGGTAGGTACCTACATGTAGGATTAATAATGGGGTGGATTTGGGGCTATTCAAAGGTCGAGGTTGAACGGGAAAGAGTGGATGCAATTGAACCCTACCCGAGTTTTGTTACTTCCAGTGCTTTTATTAGGTAACTCTTGCTGCCTCTAGTTCTTCTTAAGCATACGGCAATGAATTTGGTAATGTGGTACCTTACATACCTTTTCTTAATTCACCAATTAAAGATGGCGGAGTTGAAGTCCAGTCCTTGTATGTGGGAAGGGCTTAATGCTAGTATCAGTATCACAACAGCAGGATTGAAACAAGGGCAAAAAAAAGTTAGCCGCGGCCGTGACATCCAAAGCGGGAAGAGCCCAGAAGTTGCAGGCTTTACAGGTCAGAGTAGTAGCAGCATTCAGCACGCTGCAGTCGGCCTACATAACTGCATAGGTAGTACCTAACATGGAGACTCTTCCAGCCACTAATCAACCCTCGCTTAAGTGGATCTCCGCCGATAATCCCTTTGATCACACGGTCGTACGATCAAAAGATTGATTGATTAGATTGAGATGGATTAGATTAAAAAGATAATATTCTAATACTGTACGGAGAGCGAACTTCGGGTGGCGGTTATGTATGTATGACTTCAATACTTAATCCCTACCTGCATGAGATAACCATGCTTTCATTAGTACCGTATACTATTACAAGGTACCTAATAGACATTGGTTCGCCCTTGCTATGTGCATGGAGTATCAGGTACATGTATTATTTCAAATGAGTTCATACATGCACCATGCAAGCTCTATAATTATAAGCTTTGTAGCTGAAGCTAAGCAGGCAGGTAAATCGGTGCTAGGTTACTTAGTAAGACACCTGACCAACATTAGAGTCATCTGTTGGTCTGTCTAATATAGATCCATTATTTGAACATCACCGATATGTAAATAGGTGTCAGATGCCACACCTAAGGTAAGATAGATCAGACATGTACGGAATAGGCCCTAATTCGTTATGTAGTGGGGCTCGGTCAACACTAGTTCCGATTTGCGGTCGCTACCTTCTAGCCGCTGAAGAGTTCGAGTCTAAACGCTCAACGCAGGAGAACGTGGGTCAGATGACAGGTGTGACTTCACAACTCACAGCGGGGAGTTTGTACGGATTGTGCTCGGTTCTAATAGCTCTGAGAGTATGTCACAGGAGCCGGAGATGAATTCTGCTGCTCTGAATGCTGCCAAGTTGCAGCTTCGCTCATTAATGAAGCAGCGACTCGCAAACCTCTCGCAAGAATCCATCTTATCTCAGAGTGAGTTACTTTCATACAATAGAGTATTATACATATATAGATACATAGTTAACCATCCACCTAGGCGCAAGGGTCTTCGACTCGTTATGCAAATTCAAACCGTACGTTGATGCGAACAGAGTAGCGGTCTACCTGTCTATGCCTGGCGGGGAAATCCAGACAGATCCAATTGTTAGGCATGCTTTATCTTCGGGCAAGCAGGTATTCGTGCCTTACTTACACAGATCCGGCTTACGACCGAATGATGGACCGACGAGACTTATGGACATGGTAAGTCTAAAGGACGTCGAGGACTACGAGTCTCTAAAAAGAGACAAGTGGGGCATCCCGAGTGTTGACGCCTCTACGGTGCACGAAAGAAAGCGAAGCGTGGGTGAGCTTGATGGGAAAAGATCTGAGGATATCTCCCTGGATTTAATCATTATGCCCGGCGTTGCCTTCGATGTCGACCCAGAGTCTAAAGCCATCCGAAGGCTAGGTCATGGCAAGGGTTTCTACGACTATTTTCTCCATCGATATGCATTGGCTGCTTCACCCGAAGAGAAGACACGAAATGGTCGACCAGCTGTATTGTTATATGCTCTAGCTTTGAAGGAACAACTTCTCTCCCCGTCTTCGGGAGAATCTGTTCCGGTTGGACCCCATGATCAACCAATAGATGGCCTCTTTCTTGGAGATGGCCAAATCAAAGAGTCTGCGAATAATGGCGACGCAGACTAAAATGAGCACACCTTGACCAAGTTTGGGCGTCCATGATTATCCGCAATAGTATCCTCGTGGACATGCATAAAAGCGTAATCCCCAATAAATTTCCCGACTGCAATCGTTTCTTAATCTTTTCATACGGCTTCTTGGATCAACGACACGTTGTCACCCTTCAGCAAAATTTGGCCTATAAAACCGTCAATCACGTAGAACAACACTAACTCCGGTTGTATAGTCATACCTAAGGGTCTTCTCTTCTCCTCTGCATTTGTCTTTGTGATCTGCTTTACTTCGACCGCGTCATCAATAACAAGGTTCATGAATTCGTCGAATCCCTAGGCAAACGGATATTAGTAGGAGCAAATAGATATAGGAAGAAGCAGAAAAGCCGGTGACTCACCCTAATTTTACCCTCGATTCTGATTGACAATTGTTCGTATAGCCAGATCTTGACAGTCGCGTGTGTCTGGAGGAGTTTAAAGATGAAGTTAATAGGAGGAAGCAAGATCTTGCGCCCGCCACCGCCGCCACGACCGGTCATCTTGGTGTGTTTGAGTGTGAGTTAGTACTAGATATTCCTTGTTGGCGTGTTGGCTGGACGTAGAATCGGAAAGTACAACAATGGCGCGTGTTGCGTATTAACGTAGGTATCTTGTTTGATTTTTGGTAGTAAATTGGACGAGGCAGAAAAGAAGGCTGAGGTAGCTGTAACTGGCAAGCTTAGTGGAACATTGGGAACTTTAGCAATCGGTCGGTCCACTTTAATTACCTAGGCTCAGCATGACTCAGCCACAAATCCATATTTGACCCCTCCATATTCCGTACTTTTCCTTTCAAGCCACGGAATGAATCAAGTTCCATCCTTTTTCAGGCTCACATGGCAACCGCAAAGCACTGATTGATGTTTCTTATTTTGGCCCCTCTTTCTTTCTACGCCGACACGTATAATAAAATCTTGCGCCTACGAACCTCGCCGAGAAATTTAAACCGCTTACAAGTTTCGTCTTAAATCAGCTGTATTATCCGGTGCATTCCTCGGCGTTGGTGCATCATCCCAATAATAGTTCTTATTCTCAAATCCACCGAACTTTGCGACCGATTTCAAACTGACAGCCGCTGCTGCTCCTGACCTGCGTGCCCACCCCACGGCCGTCGACCTAATCGATACTTGCGCATCATGGCTGCGAACGGAGCGCAGCAGGGTTTCGGACCCGATGAGGTGCACCAGGCTATGCTGACTATGCGGGGTGGGGACTCGGATAAGAAGAAGAAAGCCCATGAATATCTAGAGCTCTTCCAGAAATCGGTCAGTATACAGCCGGGGTTTATCGTATAGTCCTCATCGTACGTCATTACTGATATGGGCTACAGTCGGCAGCATGGACCACGACCATCACGATACTACAGTCAAATGCCGAAGCGGACATCAAATTATTCGCAGCGACGACACTGAGAGGGAAGGTTAGTCTAGCATAAGATCTTATACCGTGGCCTACGGCGAAGCTGACGGAACAACACCTTACAAGATAACATACGACCTGTCAACCCAAGTACCTGCGCCGGAGATCCCGGCCGTGAGATCTCAATTGTTAGCGCTCTTGAAACGTTTTGCGCCAGGGCCGAAGCCGATCAGGGTACAACTATGTGTGTGTCTAGCAATCCTAGCCATACAGATGCAAGACTGGAAAGACGTGCTACCTGTCGTGGTGTCATCCCTTGGCGATGATGTCGAAAGCCATGCCTGCATCTTGGACTTCCTTAGGGTTCTACCAGAAGAGGTGACCGAGGGGCGAAAAATCACCCTGACAGTACGTAGATAAGTTGTTTCAGCACGTCCCCTACTCTCTTCTCCTATGGGGACGTTTTATTGCCGTTGCGTTTCGAAATGAATAAGAAGTCTAACGGGTTAACGTCTAGGATGAAGAGCTCACGTTGAGAACCGCCGAACTATTAGAAGGAAATGCTCCACAGGTGGTGCAACTCCTGATTAATTATGCCCACTCATCGCGTAAGTTCAGTCCAGCCTTGTAATGAACACAGCTAATATGTGGGGATAGCGGTAGCTGCGACAAATCCTCAACTTTTTGAATGCATAACGTCCTGGCTACGTGAGGTTCCTATCAATGAGATCGTCAAATCCCCTCTGTTAAACATCGTCTTCAATGCCCTTGAGAGTGATGTCTCTTTCTCGGCTGCTGCCGAGTGCATTTCGACTATGGTCAGGGAGACTAGAGAGATAGATGACAACATAGAAACCATCCAGGTACTTCTACCGAGGGTTGTTGCTTTGCAGCCCAAGATTCAAAAAGTGGCCGAAGAAGAAGATTTTGAGTCATACAAGGCTCTCACCAGGTTGTTGGGCGAGGCTGGTTCTTCGTGGGCCGTTGCCATTGCCCGGGAACCCAGCCATTTCAGAGCCCTTGTCGATGCTATTCTTGAGTGCGCCGCAAGAGATAAAGACAGAGAAGTCATCGAATACACTTTCGAGTTCTGGTACGAACTTAAGCAGTATATCGTACTAGATAAATATATACAGTCACGTGTGGATCTCGTGGATGTATATGCGAAACTAGTCGATATTCTACTTAAGCATCTCGAGTATCCCGACTCGGTATCTGGTAACGAAAAGGATTTGTTTGACGGAGACAGGGAGGCAGAGGAGAAGTTCCGTGAGTTCCGGCACCACATGGGTGATACCTTAAAGGACTGTTGCGAGATCATGGGCGTTTCCGAGTGCCTGGCAAAGGTTCTTGATGCCATCAAGGTCTGGATGCAAAAATACGCAGGTCTGGCGAACGGTGCCTCAGTCCCTCACTGGCAACAGCTAGAAGCCCCGTTGTTCTCTATGCGAGCTATGGGTCGCATGGTTACTAAGGACGAGGAAACCGTTCTACCTCAACTCATGCCCCTTCTGGTCCAAATGCCAGCTCATGAGAAGCTGCGTTTTGCGACGATCATGGTGCTGGGTAGATACACAGAGTGGACAGCTTCCCACCCAGACTTTCTCAGTCCCCAGTTTAACTATATCGTTTCTTCTTTTGACACAAACTCAAAAGAGATTATGGGAGCAGCCGCTATGGCGATCAAATATTTCTGCATGGATTGTAGACATCTCCTCAGCAACCAGATCATCCAACTTCAACAATTCTACGACCAAGTTCTGGATAAACTTCCCACGCTCAGCCAAGAAGAGATCACCGAAGGCGTTGCGACGGTAGTATCTGTACAGCCGACGGACGAGATATTCAAATTACTCAAGCTCTTCTGCGACCCCTTAGTTCAGAGGCTGATGGCAAAGGCCAACAATGCGATAGACAAAGAGAAGAAGCTAGCGGTCGCTGACCATTTACAGTTGATCACACTCTTCATCCAGTGCGTCGTGGTCCTGCCCCCTGTCCCGCGTGGCCAGGAAGATCCCGCAGTGAAATATTGGCAAGAGGTTTTCCCGATATTGTCAAAGATCCTGGAAAATTTCCTTGACTTTACCCCAATCTGCGAAAGAATTTGTCGATGCTGGAGATTCATGGTGATTGCCCATAGGGGAGCCATGGCACCAATCCTCCCAGACATGGCGAATCAGCTAGCGAGTGGATTCGCCACGTCGAAACAAGGTTGTTTCCTATGGGTTACTGGTGCTATTCTGCGGGAGTTCTCTGATGATCGAGAACACGTAGAGCAGGCTATGACAGAGCATATATACGTTTTCTTCGAGGCCCAAGCTACAAATGTGCTCCGTTTCCTCAGTACACTATCACCGACGGACCTTCCGGATGTAACTGAGGACTTCTTCCGCCTAGTTGTCGACGGATTGTTATATTACCCTCAGAAATTTATCCCATCATCGATATTCGGTCCCGTATTCGAAGCCGCCCTCTCCGTTCTCGTCTTAGAGCAACGTGAGCCTTTGTCTGCTACCCTTCATTACATCCGAGATGTTCTAGGATGGGGTACCGCATTCTCGCCTCCGTCATACGACAACATGTCTGCCCCAGTGGCTGAACAACTAAAGGTTCTCGTGAAACAGCTCCTACTAGCTCAGGGAGAGACATTGATTAAGCGATTACTTGCTGGCATGATGATCACATTCCCGAAAGATTGTTTTGCTGATGCTAGTGGTGCCCTGCTAACACTATTCGAGATTTTACCCGATCAGACGGCAGCGTGGGTAGACCAAACGCTCCGATTACTACCTGAGGGGACCGTCTCGGCCACGGAGGTAGATCGCCTCATGACGAAGATTAAGGAGAAGCTTAGCACCAATGATACGGGCGACGTACGACAAATACGCTCAATTCTCCAGGACTTCACCAACACTTACCGAAGGAGATATGTTGCGCCCCGAGACGGCTTAGGGGCGTTGGAGGGAGCACGATTCCGATTCGCTGGTTAGTGATCGGAGGTGTTGCATGCATTGATTACCCTCGAGTACGATTAGGGAGGAAGCACCCGATGATGGCGTGCCCGAAGCAGCTGGGATCCCAGTTAATGGTTTCGCCTAGTGCCGCGCAGCTATCGATTTTAAGCTGTTGGTGGAACTGTGGAAAGGAGTAAAACCCGCGGTCGCGGACGCAGTCAACGACGTAGATAGTTTAGGAGAAATCATACTTTGTCGGGCGTGGGGTGGCGATAGTGGCGTAGATTGGCAGTGAATATGGGAGTGCAAAAGAAAGATACCTATACCTACTACCTATGAGTAATTCCCTGCGATTGCAGATCGGATCGAATCAGATCACCACGGCAAAATAGCCCAGAGATTGTTTGTACATATGCCAGCTTTTAATAGCCCACAACTAGTAAAAACGATGCAATACTATACTAAGGGGTTTATCGCCTGGGATAAGTGGAATGTAGAGAAAGGGCGATGGTTGAGGCTAATAAGTGCGGCTGGTGGTTGTTTGGTGGGTGGTTTTGTGGTACGGTATAACGTTGTTTCCATGTGCGATATAGACATGGTGATGAAGCTTTAGGTAATATAACTACGCTGCTTTTTAAATACTTTCCAATTGACTTCCACATCAGAATTCTGTCGCGTTTTTATATCCTTTTGTCAATAGTCTTTTATATATAAAGTGTTGCTTTAACTTAAACTACTGAAGTAATTTCGTGAAATACGACCCCCGAGGGATTACTTATGTAAAGTAGACAGTGGCTAATCTTTTATATAGT